AGAGACAGAGAGACAGAGACACACAGAGAGAGACAGACACAGACAGAGACAGAGACAGAGACAGAGAGGAAGAGAGAGACTGACAGAGAGACAAAGACAGAGAGACAAAGACAGACAGAGACAGAGAGACAGAGGGACAGAGACAGAGACTAGTCAGACCTTCACTAGTCACTAGTTCAGTAACAATGAGGAACTGGGTGTTGGGAACTTAGGACACTTGGACTTTGGCTCTGGCTATCCCATCAGCCAGGTTCCTAACTGGAATATCTTGTGTCCCTCTCCTCACTGGATTAGTTCAAAGAATTTTAATCTAGTGACACTCCCTTGGAGGTGGCTTCAGGGTTATGGGGATCATGGTGATGACAGGATAATACAGTTCTGATGTGGCTGTAGATCATACAGCTTCACTGAAACTGAAGTGAAGGTCTGCTCCATGTTTAATTCTTCTCAGGCCAATTTTACCCATAAGGAAAGAATTTCATGGCTGACACATGCATTACAGTGTATCAGTTCTAAAAAAATTGTCACAACTATTAGAACGAAGTGTCTTCCAGCTCTAAAGGTCAGCAATGCCTTAGTCCAGTTCTTACATATGTCATAGCTGCGAAGCAACTTAAATATTAAATATACTCTTTAAAGAACATACTAAGGAGGGGCCTACTCCAGAAACATAAGCGAAGCTCTCTCTGACCTGCTTTCTCATCTGTCTTGATGGGTGCCTATGGCGCAGCTAACTTACACTGTTTTCTTACTTGCTGTGAACTCTTCACCACTCTCACAGGGACCCTCTGAATGCTTTCACACTCTATCCTACTTGGTGTCACCTCTTCACCATATGGATCAGCTGGGCTGTTAAAAGCTGCTGTTAATCTCTTCCCTTTCCATTTTAACAAGGAAGGCTAAAGATGTTTCCTCTTTCAAGAAGAGGACAGAAAGGTTACAAAATGACAGTTTCTTTGATTTTTGTCTCTGTTGCCTATCACGTGTCATCTCCATGGTATGCACGTTTGTCACTTCCTGCCTATGCTCCCATTGACCTTCCTGTCCCAGTGCTGCTCACCCTCTGGATCCCAGCTCATGACTTCTCTTTCTGAAACACAGGATGAGAAATTGCAGTGGCCTCTGAATATTCAGTCAGCACCTCTTTCTCTCCATTGTTTTGCCCTGGACCATTATCCACTCTCCTTAAATTTCCCCAAAAGTAATGGAACCTGTCCTGCATTCACATCTGGGTGAGAAGAGTCACAAGTGGAAAACAGGAGAAAGCCAAATATTGCCTCTCAAAGCTACATACACGAATCTACCTTTACCTCACTGTATTTTAAATATTACCAGATATTAAAAACAAACTCCATATTTTAATATTGTCTTTGGTATACTTTTGTGTGATGTAGAATATATTAGATGAACAGAAGAGGCATGCAATACCTACTTAATAGCATTTACTATGATGCTAACTAGCAGAGTGTCTGGAATGCTCTTCCCCTTCTTCAGCAGCTTCTGTGATTGTGCACCAAGCCGAGCACGAACTGTGAGCTGTGGAGAGAAACAGTGGCTGGTAAAGTCCAACTAATTTAAAAGCCAGATTTCAAATGTTTAGAAGGGGATAAACAGTTAAATAATCTTACTCTCTGAAGAAGACACTGAACATTTAGCATAATTATGGAGGCGTATTAGATTTTTAGATGCTCTATCTAGGTTTCCTTCTTCACCAACATCTTGCTGTTTAATTTTCAGCAGCTCTTGCATTCAAAACTTCATCTTTGATAAATTCAAGAAGATGCTGCTGTCTGCAGGAGTTTCAGCCACTCATGTCATAAGTAGTTCCCTCTGGAGAAAACCACAATCTCAAGGCCCTCACCCAATTAATGCCCTGAGGGCATTGTTGGCATGGATGCGGGACCAAGGATTGAACTGTGGTCCTTGCGCTTGCCAAAGCAGGCACTTAGTCTGCTGAACTATCTTGTCGGCTCTATTCCCATTTTGTCAATGGTCAAATTCCAGATACTTTCTGCCTCAGTTTCACTGGTTCTTGTGTACTGCTTTTCAGTTTTCTGTCTTAATTTGGCTGGCAAATCATTAGCTTTAATGTTTTATCCATCATTTATCATTTATTATTCATGGGTGGGTGAGTAGAATACATTCCATTGAAAAACATTAGAACAGCGGTTTCCCTGGAGTCTGCTGTTAACTCAGCAAACTAGAGCATTTACATCACCTGTGATTGTAGCTCTAGTCAAAACTCTTTGAAAGCTCCTGGTTTTGTTTCAGGTACCACAGTAGTGGCGTGTAAGACCCTGACTGATTGGATCCCCCTATCTTCTTTTCAGCTCTCTATCCTCATCAGTTACTACTGTCTTACCCAGCAGCTGGCTTCATGGCTATTGCCCAGTATTCACATACTGATGCCCCCTGCAATGCTGTCTAGACCCAGTTACGTAATTCTCTTGCCTCTTTCAATTTCCCTGAAACTCACTTTCTGAAGGAGGTCTACACTTTATTTAATACAAAAGCCTTCCTTCTCCCCCTCCCCAGGACCTATGTTCCCAATATCCCAAATTCTTCTCCATGTTTTCTTTCCTCCTGGCACTTATTACCACCTAATATGCCATATCATTCAGTTATGGTTTATTGTCTGTGTTCTTCTAATAGAATGTGAACTCACTAAGACCAAGGATAATGGTCATAGATAAAATAGGTCATAGATAAAAGTGTGCTCTTTGAGATGGATTGAATATGGAGTATAGGGTATTTGTAATTCAATAAGCATGAAAATAAACTCAGCCTTTCTTCTAATTTATATTTCAAATGCACAGAGTAAAAATTGTTTTTAAAAACCACTTTATTGCTTTCTCTAAATTTATTTTCTTCCTTATCAGTCACTACATTTACACCTTGGTGTGTAGCCTTCCAATTTCTTTGTCTTTAATCATGCTTGAAATTTAAAATATTTTAGAATTGTTTTCCATGATTAAACAACAACAACAATAATAATGATGATGATGATGGGCAGGGGAGATAACTCAGTAGAATAAAAGCCTGCCTAGGAAGTGCAAGGTCCTGAGTTCAATCCCCAGTATCGCAAAAAAAAAAAATAATAATAATAATAATCAACTACAATAAAAGTAAAGTAAATGAAACCTAATTTGATTAATCAGGACATTTCATTTGATTACAAATAATTTTTTATATATGGTAAAGCAATATTACTTTTTGAAATAATAGTTTCCATAAGAATCAAGATTGAGGGCTGGGGTGGAGAGATAGCTCAGTACCATAAGTGTTTGCTTGGCAAGCACAAGGTCCTGAGTTTGATCCCCCCAAAAAAAGCAAGGTTGAGTGAATTGTTTTAAATACTTTACAGATTAACAACAACAAAAAAAATTGTGGTGTCATCAAAAAGACTCAGAATAAATTCTGGAAAACTCCTTTAATGGTAAAGAGTGCATGAAAGGAAGTTAGTTATAAATTAATAAAGGAAAAACAAAAATAATTTTTTTAAAATTTAAATTCACACGTGTAATTATGTGGTAAGATATTGCATGGACTTGGGTCTTTTCTCTCCTTTTTTGAGTAAGGTTGGCTTAGTGTTTTCCTATGCCATTTAATCTTTCAAAGAACTAACTCATTGATTCCTTGTATTATGCTTTTGAGTCTCAATTTTATGACTATCTGCTCTGATCATTATAATTTCCTTCCTCATTCTGGCTTTGTACTTGGCTTGTTCTTACTTTCCTAGGACTCTGAGGTGCATCATTAGGTTATTTGAGCCCACTGATTTTCTAATATAAACTTTACTGCTATGACCTTCCCTCTTAGGACTACATTCATTACACCCCATAGGTTCTAGTATGTCATACTGGTTTATCTTTTGATTGGACAGCTTGTCTAATCTCTTCTTTAATTTCATCTGTGACCCATTGATTACTGAAGAGGTTATTATTTATTTTTTAATTTTAAAAATTATTTGTATATTTATTTATTTACTTGGTACAGGGTCTCAGTACACAGCTTGGACTCATGGTGATCCTCCTGTCTCAGCCTCTATAGTGCTGGGATTACGGGTATGCACCACCACAACCACTTTCAGTGGCCCGCACAGCATTCTGGCCAGCACAGCATGTAGTACTGGGGATTGAACCTGGGTCCCTGTGCTTGCCAGGCAGGCACTTAGACCGCTGAGCTATCTCCCCAGCCCAAGAGATTATTATTTAATTTCCCTGGGTTTCTGTAGTTTCTGCAGTGTTTTTGATATAAATTTCTAGTATCAGTGCACTGTGATATGTGTGGTTGGAAAGGATGCCAAAGAAACTCAAATTAAATAACATGTTACTATCAAATCTAATTTAAAATACAAAAGGACATAGTTATTGCACTCCATTTGATACTATACCAAAAAGGCACAAATTATGACACTTTTTAATATACTAGTATCCAAAATAAGATTGTGATACTTACTTTGGAAAAATTATCATTATCATTTGATTTGACGTCTTCAGATTTTGGTTTTCTATTAGTATTTGTACCTAATAATAAGAAAAGTAGTAAGCACAAACTTCAACTGTTTTCATCTAATGTCCCTGTCCGATTTGACTGTTCATGGCTTTTGGATATACAGGTTATCAGATTCATCTCTGTTAAACACCCAGAGGAATATTTCCTACTGTGACACAGCATTTAAGATCCTGGACTGAAAAAGTGGAAAACATCAAGCCATAGAGAATCCAGGATCTTAAATTATTTGACAGAGAAGAATAGAAAGGAGAATGGAAATATTTTTGTTACACTGTTTATCTTTGTCCTTCCTTGGTTTTAGACCATGGATGTCTTGTACTCTCTGTCAAATGACTGTCTAAACAGCTAGACAGTTTCCCTCTTGCTTTTTCCCTGAAAGTACGACTGTGATCACATACGTGTGAGCTTAGTGCTCATTTGTTTGTCTCTCCAATGTAGATGATGGGTGGCTCTTTTTAATATTTTACTTACTAGGTGGGGTCTCACCTTCTGTTTCTGGTAATGGTTCACCCGAAACTGGAGCAACTGAAGATACACTGTGTGAGTCCTTTAGGGAGAAACACACACACACACACACACACACACACACACACACACACACACGCACACACACACACACACTGATTTTAACATTCTCATATTTTATTACTTTTCTGTTTTACTTCTATACATAAAAGTTCAAGAATATACTATTATAACTAATTTGATGATGATAATGATATATAATGACACTAGATATTAATGGTATTAAAAGGGGTTGACATTGCAGTCCTAAGGGATGGTTTTCAGAAACAAAATTTGATGGTTATTGAACTTACAGATATACACAATAACCTGTGAAATAAGGTTTTCCAATAGCTTTCAATTTCATTGCAAAATATAGTAAATGCTATTTTAATAAAATATAATGGAACCTGAGAAAAATATAAAGTTTATGGAAAATAATCTTAAAAAGAGCAATCCTAAAGGACTCAGTCATAACCATAGAGACATCTTTTAAAATATACTATCTATTGCCCTATTGATTAATATCAGAAGAGCCTCAGAACATGGAAGAAGAGATTCCCCACAATAAAGAAAATTTCTCCTAGCTCTTTTTTTTATTAAATGGTATTTATTTTGCAGTCCATACACATGGTGTAGATTAGATTATCTGCTAATTTATTCAAATTGGAAAGATGGTATAAGGTAAGGAAAAGTGTATTGAATTTATAATCTGGAACCCAAAAACAGAGGAGACACCTGCACACTTTTTGACCCTGATTGGTTTGCTCATGAAACCAATTTGCATTTAGGTTCTTCGTTCTCTCTGTAAAATAATGAAACTAGATTATCAGTTCTCAAGTGGGGCCACAATTTTCTTTCTCCCTCTCTGAGTCCCCCAGTCTTCATGAACTAATGAGATACAATGTAGATAGGAATGTGCTACAGGCAAATTATGGGAATACAATGCAGATAGACCACACAGAGAAGCACCCCCCTACCCTAAGATCTACCTGTGGGTATCAGGGTTCATTGTGGGCAAAATTTATATAATCTGGCTTTTCATATGGTTCCTAGATCTTTTCTATTGCTCCTACTGAAGCAGCATAACACTGTAAATCTGGAAACCAAGCCAGGTGACCTCTCTACCCTTGTACCTTCCTCTCGGGCTCTAGTACCTGTCTTGACCATGGGCAGGCAAAGCACTGGTCTTGTGGCTCATGTTGGGCTCTAAGTTATGATCTGGCCTAGACTCCCAGAAGTTCCCCCCCCCCCCGGAACTAGGGATTGAACTCAGGCCCTTCCACTTGGCAGGGAAGCACTTATTCCCTAGACTTCCCAGAGTGTTGTCTGGGCCCCTAGACTTCCTGGCCCTTAGACTCCCAGAGTGCTGAGTAATAGGTATGTGTCACTACCGCACTGTTGAGTTTCCTTCAAACACATATCTGCTATCCTCCCAATCCCACAGTGCAGTCCCTTCAGCCACTGCCATTCATCAGCCAGTCACTGTCTTCTATTTCTTCTTTTGGCCCACAAAAATCTAAAATATGTACTCCTCATCCTTTACTAGAAAAAGCTCTGGTCAAGAAGATCTTCTGGGTTCCATCCAGTTTTGTATCACTTGTATAATAGGTGCAAAGAAGAAATCTAAACTCCTACTTGCCTGGGTTCCTTTACTGCCCAGATGAGGATTTGATGGAGCCTCTCCACCTTCTTTCTGAATTGCTGGGTCCCCGCTGACTTTTTCACTGTCATGGAATGCCTGGATTGCCTCTTGGACCAGAGTGTCAATACAAAGTACCTGAATAGGAAACTCTAAAGTAAAACAGATAATTTCATAAATAACTTCTCGTTTGGGAAGTTCAGACCATTTCCTTGTGTTCTTGTTTAGCCCTGCAGAACTATCTTCAAAGTCCCTAGAACTGTCTTTTAGATTAAGCTGCTTTTTAAAAAATTGTGGTAAAACTCATGCAGCATAAAGTTAAGCACTTGAATGGCAGCTCGGTGGTATTTAGACATCCACGATGCTGTGTAACATCACACTGCCTTCTTCCAGGAACTTTTCATCACCCCCTGAAGGAAACACATACTCATTAAACTTTCACTGTTTATTCTCCTAGTCATGCCCCTTGCAATCAGTAATTTGATTTCTATCTCTTTGTGTTTGATTTATGTCTCTTTGTTCTGGATATTTCATATAAATAGAAACATATATTAAGTGACCTTGTATATCTGCTTAGTATAATATCATCAAGATTATTCATGTTGACACATATCAATACCTAACTAATTTTTAGGACTAAATACTTATGAACTGGACAATAGTTACAGGATTTTACTATTATAAAGTTTTGAAGACCAAGATTTCTTAATCAGCAGAGCATTTGCATGCTTTCTGTAGATATAAATATTTCCAACTAGCCAGCCTAAATATAATCCAATAAACAAGAAGTAAGAAAAGAAAAAAGGAATTGTACCTCTTTGTAAAGTCTGCAGAGTGACAGTTTTCCCACTAAGCGTTTTCCCCAGCAAGCATCCTCTAATAGCAGATGAGGGCAGCTCAGGTTCGGTTGGCTCAGCTTGTGGAGGAAGAGACTTTTCTATGAGTCTGTGGAGTACGTGGCCCAGTATGGAATTGTTGGAGGGGGGTAGGTTCTCCCTCATTTCTTCTGGTACAGCCCATTCTCCAACCATGTTCTGCAAAAATGCCAATTTAACAAACAAATGTATTCTTAAAAGTGAAACTTAGGCATAAAAAGAACTTTAAATATTAAAAGGAAATTCAAATAATAGCAAATACAATTTCATTTTGTAACGACATAAATTATACTTTAACATTAAAGAGTGGAAAATAAACTTTCCACATAAAAATAGAGTGCAAGTTTAGTTTATAGAAGTAGGTAGCTTGAGTTAAGGACATACCTTTATCTAGGTTGAGCACTGAGATGATTAAAATTAATATTATCAACAAGCAGAAAGCACAGTATTTAGTAGTTCACATGCTATCTTATGCAAGTACTAAACTTACTTAAAATATTTTAAAGTAGGAAAAGATCATTTTCATACCTAAAAGACTGTCTTAAATCTAACAGGTTTGACTCCAATTTTTCTCAGTTTTCTTGCTAAAATGATCAAACAATTAGAGGAAGAGTCAAAACAAAACAAAATAAAACAAAATAAATAGAATTATACAGATCATTTTCTCTAACCTGCATGTAATAAAAGTACAAACTGAATTTCAAAAGATGAAAAACATAAGTATTTAAAATTCAGAAGCATTACTTTAAAAATAATTCTTTTTTTTTTTTTTTTTTTTTTTTTTTTTTTTTTGCGGTACCGGGGATTGAACTCTACTGAGCTATCTCCCCCGCCCAAAAATAATTCTTAAAGAAGAAGTTAAAACTATAAAGTCTGAAAAGAACATTAGAGCAACAGATTTATTTTAAAAATGGGATGAGAGGGCGATGGAGATAGCTCAGCGGCATAAGTTCCTGCCTTGCAAGTACAAGGTCCTGAGTTCGATCTCCAGTACTGAAAAAGAAAAAAAAAAAGGGATTAGATCAAATAACCTGGAAATTCCACAACTTTTTAGCCAAAAATGTTTTGTCTAGATTGAATCAAAAAGTAAAAATCAAAATAGAAAGCAAAGCCTTGTATTTTTATTGGAGAGAAGTGTAATTTAAAATAATTAAAAGAAACTAAGGAAGGAAAGTATAAAAACGAAAATTGAGTGGAGCAACCTATATATTTTTACTGACAAATGTTTCGCGCTTCCCCGTATAACTCATGATAAAGAACGTGCTTGTAGTTTAGCCTCAAAGTGAAGAAGCATAAGCGTCAGTGTCGAACAGGAGAGGAAAGAAGGTGTCAAGTGTTTTTTTTAAGGAGACCTACAAATTGTAAAGAAAATTTTATGTATGATTGATTATGGTTATTTTAAATGGAACATTTAAAAAGATAAAAGCCATGAAAGAAGTGGAAAAATTACTAGAAAACTATGATTAGGAAACTTTCATTTCTTAATTAAACAAATTTAGATTTTGTTCTAAATCTAAGTCTTCTAGAATATGTAAGGAAAATAACTCTCAGTGTATTCAGTGAGACTAATATTATTCTTGCACAAAAATATAACCAAAATAACTGACAAAAGAGTAGCCCAAAAGCCCTGTAAGTAAAACTCAGTTGGAAATATTTTGCAAAAATCTTACATCTGCTTTTAAAATCAGCATTATGTTAATACAAAACATCAATAAAGGTATTAATTGGCATTGACTGTACATTCACTATATATCATGTATAGTTGTTCTCATAAGTTATTGCAGATGATTCTCCTAAAACTTTTGCATAAACATTATTACTATTTTCTTGGTTTTGTAAAAGAAAACCTTGAGTACCACGAAGATCACCATAAACAGTCACACCAGAAGCTAAGCTGTAATACAGGCTGCCAAATTCCAAAGCCTGCATTCATAACCTATATTCTATATTGACTTTGTTTCACCATAACCGAATGACAGTCATTTCATGAATGCAACAAAAGTTAAATATTTAAAAAGCTATTACTATGTCACATTAATATGTAAAATTTTGAAGATGTATGATAGAGCCAGCAAGATAGCATAGCAGACTAAGCGCCTGCTTACCCCATGCACATCCCTGGTACCCCATGCCATGCCAGCCCCATCGCTGGGCACATTGAGCTCGCCACTGAGTCTGGGTGTGGTGGCACATGCCTGTAATCACAGTGCTAGGGAGGCTGAAAAGAGGAAGATCACTATGAGTCCAAGCTTCATAGTAAGACCCAGCACCAAATACATAAACAAAAATAAAAAAGAAATTATATTATATTTTTTATAAGAAACATATAAAAATCCAATGTATTTCTAAATAAAAAATGCAAATTCAGCTTACAAATTATCTCAGTAAGCTATGTATTGAAAGTAATTTCTTAGCATAATTTGGATCAATGTGTGATTAAGAAACAAAACAAAAAAAAATTTAAAAAAAAAGGGCCGGGGAGATAACTCAGTAGAACAAGTGCTTGCCTGGCAAAAAAAGATAGAACTTATTATTCTGTAAGTTTAATTATATTTGATTATCACTTCTATAAAATACTAAGACACTAAGTCACCAACCTGGGTAACAAGATGATAAAATAACATCAGTGATTATCTATTTTTTAAAAGTGCATTGTTTTAATTGAATGACTTGTTTTCGTAGCAGTTCTATGCATAATAATCTATATTGTTGAAATTTATTTAAATACTGAACGACTGATTTCTAATACATTATCCTTGCTTTTGCTTTCATTCAGTGAAATTATTTATACTTTTAATTAGACAAATGATAATTATTTTATGAAATCTAGCCACCAATCTGAAACTAGACCAATAAAGAAACTGAACCCCAGTCTCTAATCCCAAGGCCTAGCTGATGTGGAAGTTGCCAATGTTATAATGATTTTCAGCTGTGCAGTCACTGAAGCCTTTCTAAAGAAAGCAATCTTAGACAGAATTCAGATGACAAAGGTTCCTATACAATTTTACTACACGCTTGCTCTGTATTTCTGTCAGCCTCTTGCCTTTGGAGCATTACAGTAATAATATCTCAGAACTGCTGTACAGATTAAATGAAATAATGATTGGGTAATAGCCTATATGACCACTGAATATGAAGCACTTGAGTCTTAGGTACTTCTGGAGGCATGTAGCAGTGCCAACAGGAGGGTGACAGCATCCACATTTCTTCCTAGTGTAAGAAATCACATTCAGCGGTACCCATCACAAAAGGATCAAAATAAAGTCCTCCCATATGACTTCATTAGCTGTGGACTGTCTCCAAGCACAACGGAACAGAGCATTGTGAAGAGAACAGAATGTTGAGCTTAGGGTAAGAACTGAAGCCTGACCTGCAGGCACGAGCAGCTTAAGATTCGGTGGGACAGCTTGAGAAGAGTCACGTTACATGTATGGATGATGCTTCTATGCAAAGGCCCAGGATAAAGGCCAAGGTAAACACTTCAAAGGAACAACAGTATGAGGAATGGAAAGGAGATGAGACAAACTGAAAAAAAGTGGAAAATTCAGAGCATTTGAACAACAATGAGCTAAGGAGACTTTACTCATTCATTAGTCTAAAAGAGCCAGAACTTTCTACACATATTTACTTAATATGTTTAGTATTCAGGTAGACATAATTAAAAGTATATAATCTTTTACTTCTTTTCAATGTTGTTATAAATAGACATCTGACCATTAGTTTCAGGACTAATGAATCATATAAAATATAGATGACAATAGGAATCAGGGCGATAGATTGTTCTTGAAGGGGAGGCAATCAAGAAATGTTAGGAGGAGAAATGGATTAGGAATAAAATACAAGAATGGAGATGCACAGGTACAGGTGCCAACTCCACAAACAGTGTAAGCAGCATGTACTGAAAAAATACATATAAAGGAATGGGATCACGGGGTGGGTGCAATGGGGAGGAAAGGCAGAGGAAGGGGTTTAAAAAGGAGTTTAGATGTGTTATGTACCTAACATAAAAGGACATAAATATTATATACTACACACGTATACTAGTAAACTAAAAATATGGAAGAAGCATTTACAGAAGCTTTAAAAATTGCTTTAAACATGAGAACACAACCTTGCTAAAACTGAATAAAATTATATTAATTTTAAAAAAGACTGACAAAATAGGGCTAATACCCAGAGTGAACAATACAAAATATTTCTCAACAAAATACTTAAAATATTATCTGTGTGGATGGCCTACATGTTTCTACATTTATGTAAAATGTCAAGGACATATAGGGAAATACTATTAAGATGGTTATATTTTATTGACATTTTGTAGTGCCTGTAGTAGGCCTTTATCCTCACTGGAGATTTAGCTTAGGGCCCTCACAATGAAATACATATCCAGGCTTACTTTTTAGCTCTTATTTTGAGACAGGGTCACACTAAGACATTAAGTCACCAACCTGGGTAACAAGATGATAAAATTACAACAGTGAACACTTTCTGATCATGGTCAAAAGTTCACTAACATAGTTTTTGTTTCTGGATCTACACTGGCTTTTCCAGAACCTTATTTCTAAATCCTTCAACCCATAGTGTTCTTCCCACTTTCACACACTGTGAGAACCTAATCACTTTTCTATCCAGCCAGAATCAAATGCACTCACAGGTATCCTCATATGTTATTGTAGAAACTCCATGGTTACCTACACCATTGATTCTGGTTACTCACGGTCTTCCATATCCTTTTGATTTTCTGTGCTCTGATATGTCAGCATTACTGGTATTCTTGCTATAAGCCATAAAGAGAAATTACATATAGCATCTTCTTGGGAAGAAGGCAAATAAATACAGGCTGAGTGCAAACTCAGAGCAAACCAGAGGTCTTCCATGTGTCCTTTAGGTTCCTTTCTTGATTGTAGCATTGCCCAAATGACTGGATATGGGGGGATTGGATGGTTTTTCTCAACATTCTTTTATTCACAATAATTATTCTTGAGACATCCCTACATGTTATGACACATTTCTTGCCACTCTTGAACATCCAGGTTGGAAATGGACCTTTCTCACCCACCCATTTAAAGGAGGAGATGTAGTTTTCTTAGATCAACTTGGATGAGCAGAATTTGAGTCTTGGGAAATATTCACCTATCCATGAAATCTCAAGCATCACT